ATATTCTTCAATGAATTCCATATCAGCAAGCATTGCAATAGTTGGATTAACTATCAAATATGATTAAAAAGGTCTAGTGGTGTGCAGATGTAGTCAAATATGTATCACAATGATAATGGATTTCTGCTTACCAAATTTGTGTAAAATGACTTGTTTAGAATTAATTCTATTTCTATTGGCCAAAAAATAGTTTTGCTTCTTCTAAAATATGTAATTTTCTGCCTAAGATAAATATAAAATTATGTGCTTGAAACCTTCAGTTCTTGGTATCTTTCCCTTCCAGAGAGCTTTGATATATTTTCTTTTCGCTGGTTCTCGCAAATTAAGATTTTCTGTATTTCTTTTCTGAGAGGTTGTCCTAACTTGTTTCTCCATGTCAAGGTCATAGTGCCGATGATTCTGATCATGTGTTTTTCTGTTTGCAGATTAAGAAAGAACTTCATACTTTAAAGCAAATCAATGGCCCTGATCCAAATTATCATGATATATGTTTTTCTGGTGCTGGAAAGTATGTCTATATTTATATTAAAGAGTGAACCTACACTCCACTGTTGTAGTTTGACTGACATTTTAAATCTAATTGTATTTCAGTGCTGTCTCTCAACTCTCCAAAAGCTTTCCTGCAGTTGACATGGTATTTGGAAATGGTGATAAATTGTCACTGTCACCTGAAAATTACCTGTTCCGGGTGTGTTATCTATAAAGATCATTATTTTCTTTAACTGAATTTAAAGTCTCTTGCTATGGTTTATTGAATAGTTTCTGGCTGATACATTTCATGTTGCTGTTGTTTGTTAAGCATTCAAAAGTGCGAGGAGCTTACTGTCTTGGGATCTTTAAGAATGGAAAGGATCCGACTACTCTTTTAGGAGGTATTTTTTTTTTTTTTTTACTTGCGTGATCCTTTTGCCATTTCATGCTTTACCCTCAAGTGAAAAATTGGTATTTCTTGTTATGTTAGATAGCTAGCTTAAGTTGCTGCGATACCTGTGGCCAGTTTGGTATCCATTTGGAATGGGAGTCCATTTCTAGCGTACAAAAACAAGACATTATGTTTTTCATATCCTTGTGATCATTATTCACTAGTGTATGCCCCTTTTTATTACTTCTTTTTATAACTAGAGGCAGAAAGGTCTTTTTTTTTTTTAACTCCCTTTCCCTTCCCATAACTAGTGTTCCATGCACCAGATGGCTCTATTAGTTTATCAATCCTATTAATATTTCTTATTGCTCCAGGTATCATTGTCCGTAACATTCTTGTAATGTATGATCGTGAGCATACAAAAATTGGTTTCTGGAAAACTAATTGTTCTGAGTTATGGGAAAGATCACTTGTATCTGGCGCCCCACCACCAATGCCCCCAAATTTGGAAGGAACAAATAGAACTGAAGCATCAGAACCTCCTGTTGCTGCCCCATCGACATCACATCATGACTTACATCTAAGTATTAGAAATTACTGACCTCCAGTATAAATTTAGCTATGTATTGAGACAAATATTTTAAGAAGGATGAGATGTTGCAATATGCATGCTTCATTTGTTATAAACTTAGTTTTCTGTGGAATTTTTTTTTTTTCAGAAACTAGTTTCATCCCATTGCAAGTTTTATGCTTCCTGATGTGTTTTATTACCCTAATGCACAGGTGGGCTCCAAATTGCACGAGTAACTTTTGTTATTTCATTTAACACTAGCTACTCAGATGTGATGCCTCATATTACAGAACTGACTGAACTCATAGCTCATGAGTTGGATGTTAATACTTCACAGGTTAGAAAATGGTTTACACAGTTGCTTCTCCAACCTGCTATTTAATCAACAATATAAATTTTCAGTCCTTTTATTGTTAAGGTGGGTGGGTGGGGGAGCTGGGTAGGTTGCCTTGATTCATCTTGGGGCAACTCCTGTCCAGTGTATACCAAAAAATAATAGTTAACCTTTCAGATTGATCTGCATGGTTATTTTAAGAATAATAACTTTCTTGGATGGATTTGCACAGGTTCTCTTGATGAATTTTACTTCTGTTGGGAATGGTTCCCTCTCTAGTTGGGCTATAACGCCAGGCTCATCTGCTGATTACATGTCTAGCACAACTGCAATGGTGAGGTGATGAATGTGCATTTGCATTTTTGTGAAGAATGCCCATTTAATTCTGACTTTTTATGTGACAGAGAATGATTGCTCGGCTAACTAAACACCACTTGCAACTCCCTAGCACCTTTGGAAGTTATAAATTGGTTGATTGGAACGCTGAGGCTCCATCAAAACGGTAGCATTTTATTTTATGTTTTTTTAAAGGGTTAAGGGGGAAAAAATGTCCTGGAAGTTTTCTGAAAGGAGCATGGGGTGCCCTTACTTTTTAGTTGGAGCAATTTTACCTTGAAACTTTAAAAAATGGAGTAATTTTACCTTGCTGTTAATCTCTACAAACTTTGACCATTAAATGTTACATTTTGACCAAAAAAGACTGACTTCTCATCTTGCCCTCTCTCTTCCACTCGCCCACCTCCTCTTCCTCCTAAGATCTCGCTTGTCGTCTTCTTCATCTTCATCCCTTTCCATCTCCCTTGCTGTTTCAGGTTGCTGCTGCCACTGCAGCACCTCCTCCTCTTTCTCTTACTGGAAACTTTCTGGTCATTATGGTCGGAGACGAGAATCCCACATTCTTGGCCACCCCTGTTTGCTCCAAGTCATCATTTCTTGGAGAAGGAATCAGCAAGATTGGGGTCGACAATCATGACAGCTTTGAGAAACCAGAGAAGGAGACAGGGAGCTAAAACCACCATGGTGACTGAGACAAGCAACAAAAAAACCATCGGTGAAGATGGTTGTGTTTTAGATAATAGATTTAAGCACGAGGGAGTGTGAGAAATTGAGAATCACATTTGTCTAATTTTTGTGACCATTTTTACTTCTCCTCCTTGTCTTATTTTGCCTCAAAGTCGAGCAGGCTATGGATGCTCTCAACTCTGCCGTCTCCCACCTCATTTCCCATCCTCCAGCATCATCTCCTACATTCTCTGCTCTTCAATCCTGGAGAGTAATTGTTAAAATAAAATTGCTCAGCTCATTTGTGTTATTTATAATATATTTTCCCTGCAAATCAATCCACTGGATCCAAAATCAGTGCTCTTTCTCGAAGGTAATACTGATACTGATGTTTCTCTTACTCACAATGGTCCAAAAATCTGGCTTCTTTTTTTCGTGGTTGAGAAGCTAATTTCCTTAGTTATATTGGTCTTTCCGATTTTTCTAGCTGGGATTTTTTATCATCAGTTCGCCACCATTTTTTTTTTTTTTGTGGGATTTTTTGTGGTTCAGCTTCGACACCAGGAGGGACTTTTCTTCTTATTGATGATGATGATAGTTGATCTTGGGAGAAAGAGGAGAGAGTAGTGAGGAGGATGTTCATCATCGTTGATCTCTCTGGGTTTTCTGATTTGGAGCCTGAGGATGAAGATTAAGAGAGAGAATAGGTAGCAAGAGGAAGGAAAAGGCTACCTGTGTAAATTTGTTAGTCAAAAATAAAATTTAACGGTCAACAGTTAGTTAGGTTAATGGTGGGGCAAAATTGCTCTGATTTTTAAACTTGAGGTAAAATTGCTCCAAATAAAAAGTAAGGATACCCAGTGCTCTTTCCAAAAAACATTAGAGGCATTTTTGTTCTTTAACCTTTTGTTAAAACGCATTAGCTGGAAAATTATTTTCCTCTTTCTTTCCCGCTTCATTTATGGTGCTTGTAATACTGAGGTGATTCAAGTCACCCATCCAGGCTGGTTGAAGCCTAATTTTGCCTGATAGTAAGTTTAAGAAACTCATGCAACCAAATTTTCCAGGCTTCCTACGTTATGTGTTCCTTTGCACGTCTGATTGTTAATCTGATGCTGTGATTGATGCGTTGCAGAATGTTTGCTCTGCTGAACCTGATATTGTAACATGCCACTTAGAATTTTTAGGTTTCTTTATTAATAGCCAAGTTTTATATTGGGTTTGAATAATTGTCTTTGGAAAGAGCATAAAACATGAGATCATAGCGGTAATTATGTAAAAAAGTAGTGGAGATGGTGGTGGAGCCATGAAGCACTGAACAGTTCAAGAAAGTAGCCATGTCCCTGTTTAATGTGTTGTGAATCTTGATCGACGCCCCCACACTTAAGACTTAGCAATTTAAATTATAAAATTCTTAATATTTGAAACTTGTGTATTTTCAAAATGTTCTAATACGTGTTGGAACTTTTAAATGTCCGTTATTTTCATTATTATTAAACGTGCATATAAATATATAGATACATGAATGCATATTTTCTGATATATTTGTCCATGCCCTATCTGGTATCTGGTCTTTATATTTCAGATTTTGTGTTTGTGTCATGACTTGTAGATACTTGGGAGATAAAATGGAGTTTAATTAGAGGGAAATATCAATGTACTTAATTTTTTTACTTGGTCCAAGAAATATTTGAGTGAGATAACAGATATGTTGAGACTTACGAAATAAAATTGATGATGGAAAACTGCCTCCCACTTAGCCTTTATTCTGTTTAACCTTTAACCTGATATTTACAACTGCTAACTATTGTTATTTCTCCATTTACTTATCGCAGTTACAGAATTTGTTGATAATTTACCATCATGTTTGTCTACCTACTTTACTGAATATAGGTCAGTGCCTGTCAAAAGTAACTTCTGATATTTTCATATTTACCTAAAAATGATCCAGGACTTGGTGGCAACAATACTATATGGTACTGGCTTTAGCTGCTATGCTTGCATTGCTTCTTGGATTATTAGCTTCTGCAATGTTCTTGATTTGGAAAAGCAGACAGCAAACCTTGAACTCATACAAGCCTGTTGATGAGGCTGTTCCAGAGCAGGAACTCCAGCCTTTGTGAGCTATATTTATGTTCTTGATGTTTTGCCTGGACAGTGCCATTCTTACGTTCAACTTCTAAAGCAAGAACAGTTCATTGAAGCATAGCCATTCATCAGATCAAGATTTTTCAGAGAAACTGCAGTTCCCAGGATTTCTGGTAGCCATCATTAAACCCTGCTATTGGTACAGAAAGAATCTTCTGATATTGTATCATCTGTGAACACGATTCTGTTTGTGAATATTGTAACATACAAGTGAATCAAATATTGGCAGCATAAGAATAAAGTACAATTTCTTTTTGTTGTAGGTTTGCATTTATGTTGAGCCGTCTCTTTCTTGGCTTAGTTTTTTCTTGCTCGGCTTGTTTCTCTGTTCTTATTCTGTATTAAAGTCTACAGAGTGCAGACCTTTGTTTACTAAGAATTTCTTGGAGATCGGAGATCCTTAGGGATAGAATGAGTCTACCAAAAATAGGTGGTTTAAGCTCTTTTTCTTCAAGTGATTTTTATTAGGGCTGCACAAATACTGAACTGGACCGGGTTGGATGCCAACCCGAAGTCTAGTCTGAATGGAGATCGGGCTAGAATTTTCAGTCCAAGGACTGGTCCAGTCTTGTTGGACCCGGGACCTGGACCGGGTTGGACTTGGTCCACCGGGTTACTGGACCAGTCCGGTTTCTTGAATCCAACTCTCTCAAAAAAAAAAAGCCCTTATATCCTCTTCCCTATAATCACTTGCATTAATATCATAGGCTTTTTTTTATATCCCCTTTCTTTTTTTATATTGTTTAATATTTTTGCTGTCTACGTATGGCATGAAAACACAATAGAACATATATGCTTTGCATATGTTTCTTTTTTCCAAGTCTTGAGCTAAAGAGGAATGAGAGCATGCATGAGAGTGACGCAAATACATAAACTCATTAATATATTCATATTCAGAATATATACATCTCACTATAGTCTACTTAGTCAACAATTCAACATTTCATTGTCAAGCTCTATAGTCTATCCAAAAAAATGACTATCCACATATTCTAGCCAACCACATGATATAGCTAGCTAGCCAAAAAAATAAGCATTAGCCTATCAAACTATCATCATGCTTCTTCACATAACAAAAAGTTAGTGAGATGTGCTCAAAATATATCCAAAATATCTGAAAGTTTAAAAGTTAACAAACATAAGCGCCATACAACATCAAATGATGCTCACACAACCATCCTCTCCAACATCAGTAACACTGGAAAGATCTGAAAAAATATATAAAATATAAATAGTCAATAGCATTACATCACAAATAAAAAAAATACAACTGAAACATATAATAATTCATATAAAATATAAATAGTCAATATCATCATTGCAACACATACCAGTCTTCACCACACCCTCGGTTTCTTGAAAATTATCAAATTCTTGAAGCATGGATGCAAATTCAGAGATGGATTGTCCAGGAAGCAGCCAATTTTGAGCACATATAAGTGCTTCAGTCATCTTTGGTGATAATGAACTCCTATAAGAGTCCACTACACGTCCTCCTGTGCTGAAGGCTGATTCAGAGGCCACTGTAGACACTGGAACAGCCAAGACATCACGTGCCATCATAGAAAGAACCTTGTATTTGCTAGAATTGGCTCTCCACCATGCTAATATATCAAAATCATCATCAACAGGGGTATCATCAGCAGAATTAGATGAAAGATATTTATCTAATTCTGATTGTGGGTCTAATGAGGTTTTTTCTTTTTGAGATGCTAACCACCTGCGACCTGGATCTATACCCCCTTGGCCTTCAAGCATTGAACATGTTGATGATCCTGGAAGTGTAGAAGAAGAAGCATTGCTTGGGGTACTAGTCCCTAGTCCTTTAGAATACTCATCAAACATACGGTACAAGACATCTTTGATCTTAATTTTCATGGCCATGCAAACTTCAAGATCAAGAAAAAGGTGCTCAAATATATGATTCACATAAGCAAGCTTGTACCGAGGATCCAAAATCACTGCTACAATGAGTAAAGGATTCATATTTTCTGTTTGACCCCAATATTTTTCATACTTGCTTCTCATACTTAGGGACATTTCCATAAGCAAAGGATCAACATTCACAATGTTCTCTTCCAACAACTCATGAATAAGAGCAATTTGATAGAAACAAGTGTTAGAAGTAACATTTAGTGAACTTGAAAACATCAAAGTTATGTCATAGAATACCTTCAAAAATTTGAGAAAGACACGTGCCTTGTTCCAATCACTAGCTTTAGGAGGGCCTTCACGCTTAGTGCCTCCAATGAATTGCCCCATATAATCTTCATCTTCATCTTCTAGGCGTTCAAAAGCCTTTTGAAACTTTAAAGCGGATTCCAACATCAAGTAAGTTGAATTCCACCGAGTATTGACATCAAGGCAAACAAGGCTAGTAGTGTCCAATTTCTCCAACTCAGCAACACTTTTAAACTTTTGGAGACGAGCAGGAGAAGAACGAACATATTTAATTGCATTGCGAATTGCATCAAAGCTGTTCTTCAACTCCTTCAACCCATCATTAACCACCAAGTTAAGAATATGTGCACAACATCTCAATTGAAGGTAATCACCCCCACAAACCATGCCCTTCCAATTCCTAAGCCTTCTTTTCAAATAAGACAAAGCCGTGTCATTAGACGATGCATTATCCATTGTTATGGTAAACACCCTCTCAATTCCCCATTCTAATAGACACTTCTCAATTGTCTTTCCAATTGTGTCACCCCTATGATTCTCAATCATGCAGAAATTTAATATCCTCTTGTGCAACTTCCACTCAGGATCAATGAAATGACAAGTAAGGCATAAGTAATTGAAATTTTGAGTAGATGTCCAGCAATCAGTTGTCAAGCAAACACGATTTGCAGACTTCTTCAACACTTGCTTCAATATCTTGATTTCTCCAAGGTATAGTTGCCAACAATCTCTAGCAACTGTTGTTCGCGAAGGGATTCGAAATCTTGGTTCTAGCTCTCTCACAAAATTTCTAAACCCATACTTCTCAACTATCCTGAATGGCATCTCATCACAAATAATAAATTCAGCCAATGCCCTTCTACATCGTTTTTGGTTGAAAACATGAGAGACTAAGCCCCCTCCTTGTCCACTTGGCGTCACGTAGTTCAACATTGATTGCTTTGGTATTGTGGTAGCCTTATGTGGGTTTTTAGGACATTTTGGAAAGTGCCTTTTCAATGATGTTGTCCCATGCTTGTTTGGGTCACAAGCATAAGTTGCATGACAGTATTTGCAAGAAGCTCTAACCTCTCCATTTGTTTCTTCCAAAGGTAACTTTACAAAATGCTCCCAAACTTGTGATTGTTTACTCTTTTTTGCAGGCTCTTTTCTCTTTCTGCTCACATTCTCTGGACCACAATCTTGTGCAAGGTTAGAGGCAGGATCAATAGCTACAAGAGGAGGAGTTGGTGGAGTTGGTCCAATAAGAGGTGGCATTTCATTTTGACTAGAATCAATTAATTGTGATGGCAAGGGTTGGTCAATACTAGCAGATGCAGAAGTTTCGTCCACCATGTTTCTAATATGAAAAACAAGACACAATGTTAACTTATAAAATCACAAACACAAGTATAGAGTCAGACTTTTCTCAAAGAAGTATGACATATACAGAGGCACAGAGCCACTTCTCTGTCATGATCACCAACAAACCAAATCCAACAATTAATATTATAAGCACAGGTAATCTAATTGTTGTAGAAATTTATCCTTAAAATACTGATATAAGGTTCAAATATCAGAATAGCAACCTCACCAAAAATAGAATAAATATCAGATTATATCAACCAAAAATAAGGAATGATCCTCCAAAACCGAAGCCATCTATAGCAAGTTAGCAACAAAAGATCAGTCATCAGTCTATAGCAGCAATAGAAGCGTCTCTCGCCAAAAGGGTAGAAATGTGAACCTTTGAAAATGGCAACAATAGTACATCTCTCACCGTAGCAGCCTCAACGAAAAGCAAACAAAACCAGAAAGAGAGAAGTAACAGAACAGAAGCATGCGAAAATGGAACAGAAATTGTCGAAGAAGCCAGAAACAAAGCAAGAAAAACCAGAAACCAAGCAAGAAAAACCAGAATGCAAAAACAGAGCAACGGAAAAACCATAAAATAGAGCGAGCAAAACTAGAAGAAAAACCATAAAATACGAATACCTTTCAGCTGCCGATGCTGTCGCTGGAGAAGAAGGAGGAAAATGCACGATGAATCGAAAGGCTGAGTGAAGTAGTCAAGCGATCGTGATGTTCTTCTTCATCGGCATGCTTGAGGAAAAACAGAGCAACGGCCGACCAAGGAAAGGCAGAGAGATGAGTGAAACCAGAGAGTTACAGCTAGGGCAACGAGAGAAATGACAAATGAGGTACTGAGCTCAGAGCCTCGGACAGATACTCAGACTTCACGGACCGAATCCGAGGCATGCGTGTGAGGAACTGTAACTGAGGGCGGCGTGAGACGTGAAGGTGAGGCTCAGAGTCAGCGAGTCAGTCTGTCAGCGTGAGATTTTTTCATTTTTTGTGTGTAAATAATATAATTATTTAATATTTAATATTAAAAAAATAACCTGGACCGGGCCAGACTAATTGGTCCAAAAGATCAGTCTCTAGTCTGGTCTAACCCGTATGTGTAGTCTGACCCGTTTAGTCCAGTCTTTTATTCGGGTTGATTTTTTTAAGACCGGGTCAGACCGGGTCAAACCAAACAGACCGGGTTTTAAATTTTTTTGCACAGCCCTAATTTTTATAAATTAAACATGAAACAAACATCACTTTGATTTGGTGAATTTTTTTTTTTTTTTCCTCATGAGCTAGTCTAAGTAGACATATGGAAATGGCCTGACGATTCTGTGAAGTTATCAGATATTTTATCAAAAATCAAAGTTACCCTGCAAGGTTGTTTACTGTACTGTCTATCCAAGCATGGTAGGTTTCCACAAAAGTTTCATATAAGTTCATTGGGAAATGACATTAATACCCTTGTCACTCCCACAAAAGACTCGCTTCGCCGTGCTTCTGTGTCCGAGTCCGACCCTCTGCTTTGCACTCAGTCATTCATAACCGATCACCTTCGTCGTTCGTCCTTGAATTTGATAGGATAACAAGAAACAGAAAGTACATTGGTGGTTATTAGTTACTCTCTGGTTTTGGTCCAAAATATAATCCACTGAGTAGTGTTTATAAATTTTTTTAACTATATCTCTATTTTATTTATTACTGCTTTAAGAAATGATCGATTAAACTTTTGATTTTTTATTATTTATGTAATTGTATAATAATTTAATTAAGGTATAATTAAAAAGATTAATTTTTTTAAAAAGAGTACAACTTTAACTAATTTTTTTTTATAACCGTGAATTTGTTATCGATATTTTACATTATGGATACGAGGAAATATTTTATTGTAAATTGGACAAGTTATTAGGAATCTGAGGGGGAGAAAAACTAATGAAAGATTGAAGAATGCACCAAAATGCATGGCGGTCGTTTCTTATTGAGCTTCTCATGGAGCTCAAAGTGGAAGGACATAAAGGGAAAATACGTCCTCATCAAGCTCCTCGTCGCATATGCACAAGTACAAATATCTGTCTTCCTTCACTGACCAAACGCGATTCATAGTTATTCCTTTCCTTTTCATTTCACTTCTCTAATAATGCTTTTAACAATCAAATCAAATACCCTTTCCATCTTAAATTATAAAATATTTTTAAATAAAATTTTACATATCAATAAATTTCATTAACTGCACTTAATAACCTTATTTTTTTAAAATAAAAATATAAACTTTTAAAAATACCTATTATTTAATATATTAAAAAGAGAATGAATGAAATTTAATTATATAGAGAGAAAGGGTAATATTAAAATTGGTATATTTAATGAAATCTTAATTTACTTAAAATGTCTTATACTTTGAGACAAAGAAACTCCTTCAAGACTCCTTCAAAATTTTTCTTTAGACATTTTGTTATTAATTTCATGACATCATATTGAAAATTTGATAAATATTGTGTTGTACATTCATAAACATTCTGTTGTTAATTCCTCTTATGCAACCTGTTCATTTCAAGTTAAATTATTTCTATTAAAATAATTGTATAATATAAGATATTATGTTGAGAATTTATAAACATTATGTTATGAATTTAGGAAAAGATGGTAAATATATCTTTTTTTATTAAAATATATTTTTACTTAAAGCTCTAGCGGTCCTATGTGCGATTCTCCCAATAATATATTAAAATTTGGACAGGTCATTCAAGTATTGATTTGAGGATTAATGATGAATGCCCTGAATTTCAATACTATACAAGATATTAAAAAAACAAAAAAGGTGTAGACGTGAAGAAGCAAACGAATGAGTGAAATATTCCAGTTTACTGAGAAGCAAAAAGAAAAAGGGCAGTGGTAAAAGCTGAGATATACTACAAATTTCTTGCGTGCAGTGCTAAATAAGTTGTGCTCTTTCTTTGAACTGAACAAGTGACACTTGCACGTGAATGACCAATGTCAAAAATTTAAAGTGAAATCGCACTAAAGGGCCCTTAGAGATTGACAATAACATTAAAAGATCATAAGAATGTGAAATTTCACTACATACCTAAAGGATGTAGAGGAAATTATATTTGATTGAAAATGGACCAGATTACCTTCTAGCATGTGGCACCTTCCTCATCATCATTTTAACTATGTGGTTGTTAAAACACGTATGGTGCTTATTAATTTAATATGGTGGCTTGTCAAAAATAATAACCATTTGCTAATATAATATTTACACTCGTCCAATTTTTAATGAAAAGATGTCACTTTAAACTTGTTAAAACACTCATGAGTGCTTGTTAATTTCAGAATATGCCATATTATATTATAATATGATTTTTTGGCAATCAAATATAATTTTATGTAGATTTTAAGGGTGTGCAGTGAAATTTCAGAATCCTAAAATCCTTAAGGTTCTCTAGTGCGATTTGCCCAAATTTAAAAGCGATTCTCACAATGGAGGCTATGGCCTAAGGCTATGCTTGGGGTAGCCTCAGCCTTCTAAAGAAGTGAAGAGGCAACGAATAAAAGGAGTGAACGTGGCTTTGTCATTTGCTAAGCGCCAGCTATCTCTGATGGCGATGGAGAAAATATCTTCTGCAGTCCTCTACATAAAATTGAAAAAAAAAAAATTAATGATTCATATTTTATGTAAAATAATTTATAAAAAATCTTTTGTTTTTAGAAAATAATTCATATATAGGTTTAGAGGGAGAGGGAATAATCCATCCTCTGTCCAATTTAATTACCTTTAATTTTCTTAGCTTTTGAAAATCTATATTTATAATAGGAATATACTATGTATGGCTTGGACATAACCTAATTTTTGTCATATGAATCAATTATTAATATATATTAATATATCAAAATGAATAGGATATATATTGTATAGATTTTTCTTTTTTTTATGGAATACAATACAGATATAGAGTGGTGGGCATAACATGTTTCTTTTAAACTAATATTTTTATTTTAAAATAGTATAAACGAGTACATTAACTTTTAATAAGCTTAAAAGCATTTAAGATCTTAAATTTTATTTTTTTTATAATTTTTTTTAACTTTTAAAAATTGACAATATAACTTTTGTTATTAACATAAATTTAATTTAAGTTAGTTAATTAAAAAATAATAAAAAAATTTTAAAAAACCTAAAAATTATAATAATTGACCTAAAAATTACATACAATCTAAAAAATTATAAAAAAAACTAAGAAATTTTTTTTGAATACCTTTTATATTTTTTAATTAACTTATAATTAAAACTAATTTTTATTAATAACAGGAGTCAAATTATATTGCTTTCAAAAGTTAATAAAAAATATATTTTACAAAAGATAAATTTAAAATGTCTAAACTTATAATTTAAGCACTAATTTATTTATTTTTTAACAAAAGTTGAAAGAAAAACTAATGCTAGATCCATGAAACCAGTATGGGTCGTTTAATTTTTTTTTTTGGTACAATGGGTCTTTTAAATCTTTTTTTTTTTATTTTAACCTGACGTTTTATTTTATATTTGGACTGGGCATAGACTTTATCCTGTTACACGGAACGCCGTCCAATGCCCCCCTTTTTTTTTTTGTGGGTAAGCAGCCCACTAAGGCCAGCAATGCACTGGTAATTCAGCTTTCTTTCTTCTACCCGTGATAATATTACCTTATAACTATACAAAAGATCCAATTCTGAGGATGCCACATTATCACAGCACAGGCTAAGAAGCCCAAAGCATCAGAAGTAAGAATAGGAACAAACAACAATAATGGTAATATGATAGAATAACCAGGTTTGGAGAAACAATGATAATAAATTAAATGTGAACCCGTGATCACAGCGCAAAGAAGAAGAAAAATACAAGACTATCACAGATGTAGAAGTCTCTCTCTGTCCCTAGAAGATCAAAACAAGGCTCGCCCAGGCCATTGCCAAGCATCCCAATGCCTTCTTCAAGCACCTGATTGTATCTGCTCCATTCTGCAATGACAAAATTAAATAAATAAATCCAGTAATTATAATCCTAAAAATACACTCATGTACTGATATTTTCCGAGAGTGCCGAGTGCGTGACCCCTGCACGATCTCAGTGAATTTCTGACGTTCACGGGTATTTCATCACTATTACCATGTGAGGCATTCTCCACATCTTTAGCCTCAACGAAACCAAACCGTTTGCCATGGATCACGCGCTCTAAATATACGCGAGTATTCACCACGATTGAGCAAGAAGCTTACTCAGGTTCAGACATGAACGAGAGAACAAGACGAACTTCTCAAGTTCCGATCATGTTTCCGAAACCTTAACTATACTGCTTCTGATGGCGCCAAGTAAACTTTGGAGCTAAAACAAGATGGACTGCCCAGCCTATGCTCCAGATCTATTGCGCCTTGTAGTGTCCGGCGTACTTTAAAGGAAAGCGAGAAGAAAAAAGCAGATAAGGACAAATTGAGAGAACGTACCTCAACGTTCTCGGAAGAGGTTGGGCCAGGAGAGGAGGCAGCCTCACTGGGTCCCGGAGCTCCTGTCGGTGGTGCAGGAGGACTCATCAATGACGGCGACGGTGCTGGTGCATTGTGCTTCTTAACCTTCTTCTTTGACTTGCTCGGAGCAGGCGCCGGAACCTCCACTGCCGGAGCCGGGGGAGAACTCACGGGAGGAGCTGTCGGCGTTGGGGCAGGAGGAGAGCTCGCTGGAACAGGAGCAGGAGGAGAGCTCGCTGGAACCGGTGCCGGCGGCGTCGAGCTCGCGGGAGTCGCTGCCGGAGGTGACGATGCTGGAGTTTTACTCACCGGAGCCGGCGCCGCAGCCTTCGATGGAGATGCAGCTGGCGATGAAGCTTTAGGAGATGAAGCAGGAGGCGCAGATTTGGGGGAAGCAGCCGGAGCTGGTGATTTGGTTTTCGATGGCGGTTCCGCTGGTGACGCGGCGGGTGTCGTAGCAGCCGGCGTGGATGGTGACTTGGATGGCGCAGCTGCCGGAGATTGACCTCCGACTACGGCGACTACAATGCAGATCAATGCGAGAGACAGTATACTTTTCCGGTCCATTTTCTCGAGTTTCGTGTGCAAGAGAGAGAAACGAGCGTGGAGAAAAGTAGCCGAAGGTTGATATATAGACGATGAGGTTGTCACCAGCAAGAAGCAAGAACAAAACGGACTAGTGCCGGTTCATCTGGACCGCCGATGTAAAGTGGATCCGACAGACATATGGGTCACCACTAGCCGTTGGATCACGTTTTTTTGGGGGCCACGCACTAAGATCCAAACAAAAGTACTGTAGCCTGTCTTTGGGCCCTTACGGCCCATTAGGAGCATGTGATGAGGTAGAATTCACCAGTAGATGGACACGTCAGCTAACACGATTTCATTTCGGCCCTCACTGCCCGTTAGCACTGTCTTGCTTGTGGAGCTTTCTAGCGCTGATTTGGTGTTTTGCGGCCTCAGGAGCAGTTGATGCTGTTGATACAGCTGGATTTCCAAGATGAGGCACCACTGCATGATAATCCAATCACCGTCCGCCACGAGAGCAAGCCAAAATAATTGCGGGAAACTTGTGGGCCACTCCACCACCCTCTTGGGGGCCCCTTAATGCTTCCTTAATTACCGTGCCTTTTATGTTACTCTCCAAATATTTTAAATTTGACTCAGTTAAGTTAATATTAAGTTCATGAATTTTAACCGTTTCAGCTCATACTTTTTTTTTTTGTTAAAAAAGGGATGAGGATATGACGCCCAATAGCATAGAATGCCTCCCTCAAATTACTAACAACTCTAACTAAATTATTACATATGTGTGTGTAAAGGTTTGAATTTAAATTCACGAAACCCTCAACTGCTTGCTTAATTAAATAATGAGGGTATTTATTACTCATGTTTATTTTAGTTAATATATAATTTAAATTTTAAATTTTAATTTGATATATTTTAGTGCTAGGGGTAGAGGAAAGGGGAACTAACAAGGGTCATGGTTCCCCAAAATTTTTTATATTGTTTTAACATTATATATATATATGTACATGTATATATATATTGTTAGTGGTGGCATTACATTGGGGTTCAGCTTTCCTCCACTACGTTTTCCCTCTACTCCTCTACTCCAATTTAAATCTTTTGAATTAAATCTATGCTTTAAAAAATTATTAAATATAAATTATCAAATTTAATTTAATGGTCTATATCTGCAATGTCCCCTCCTTTGTAGAGGAGGAAATCCAACTCCAATGTAGTGAGGGGTGCATTTCATTTTGGAAAAAAAATTATAAGTATTATATGTAAATTTTATCACTTTATATGTCCTATTCTTAATATTTTATACTCTCTTGACTAAATAAAAAATAATTATATTCAAAAACTTATTAAATATATAATATTTTAATGATTGAGATAAATTATAAAAAGTATATTTTCATAAAAGATCATACCAATTTATTCAATATAATTTTTTTAAAAAAAGAATTATGATCAATATACTTATATTATTACAATTTTAATCCTAGTGTATTTATTATTTTTAAAAAAGTTATTCATTTTTAAATTGAATTATCTTGCATATCTTAGCTTCTGGTTCTAACTTTGCCATTGGAGCTTCCAAATTTATAAGAGTTTTTTTTTTTACTTGAAAAATTTATCAATGTTATAAAATTAAACAACTAGAAAATAAAGGTATTGGGAGAAAAGGTAGAGACAAGAGAATGAGATAATTTCTTCAAAATTATTGTGCCTTTTAATACAAGTAATGTACCCTATTTATAAGCATAGTTTTACACATTAAAAGTTATATAAATGATAAACACAAATAAATGATAATTAACACTCATGAAAGTGAGAGTTTCATGGGAGGAGATGAAGATGAAGTGGTGAGAAAGATAGACATCTACTTTTCTTTTAATATTCATAGCAATAAAAGTTTTGTCGTATAAATATTTTTTAATCTTGATCTTTTTGTAGTTAAATCTTAATTTCATTTCTCGATTTTTATAGTTTTAATCATTTATAATATTGGCTCTTATACAACAACAACACACCTTATCTCATTAGATGGGGTTAACTATATAAATTGAACGATATTATTATGTTCTATCATTAACAAAGCTTTTAATGATACTATTAATCAAGGGATCTCATTCAATGACTTTCATTAATGTTCTATTTAAAAATCATAAAAGATAAAGTTATGCCTTTTATTAAAAATATATGAATTTTGCATTGTAAATCAGTAGCGGTGGGCGAGAAGATACAGCAGAGAGGGCTCGGAGGGGCAATATTTGTAGTTGTACCAGGGAGATGCTGTGATGAAGAAATGCCCAAAGCTTAAGATTTCCTTTCAGTTTTTTTAATGAACATCAAGCTTAAGCTTGTGTTGTGTGGATACTTTCCTTTATACTTTGAAGGTTTGTCCTCTCTTATTACAACTTTTGTTTTGCCCCACAAGCCACATCATAAAAGGCCAACATTCACCCACCACCCACAACTTTAGTTTTTCTTAATAAAAAGAAATTCTATGTAGCATTGCTTTCTCTCTTCCCCTTTTCCCCCCAATAAAATTATCATTCTGATGGGACTGCTGTTCTTTACTTGGTTTAGAAGGGAAATCTTATGTGTCCTTCATATAGCAACTCCTTCGTTTCATTTTTCTTTATTTGGGACAGTAACACAAAATTATTCCCGATCCACCTTTTTTCCCCTTGTTTAATTTGCCTTTGCTTTCATCTTTTTCGCGTATGTTTTGATGTTGTTAATCATCATTAATATGTGAAGAGATTCCTACTTCAAGACTAAGGAAGATGAAACCCCAAGAGTTGCTCAAGGAACAAATTATTTTCTTTATTCTGATGCTTCAAATGCTCGAATTTTTAAACGATTCAAAGCTCAAACCAACACTATTCTTTATTCATATCCCAAACCAAAAAAAAAAAAAAAGAACCAACACTTCGATCATCCCACTAAGCTTTTCTCTGTTTTTTTTTTTTTTCCCTTTCCCAATCCATTTGTTTTCTTCCCCGGGAAAGAAGAAAATTTCTTTCCAGAACTCGCCACAAAAGAGAAAAGAGGCCTGATCCTTGGACCTTAACGTCCTGTGTTAGAAGTCTGAGAATCTCTTTCTTCAAGAAGTTCTCATGTTAACGGAAAAAAGAATGAGCTGGATCGATTGAGTTGTCACTACCCCAAGGCCAATGTACCAAGCTCAATTTCACCGAAGCCTGACGGAACCTCATGTGAGGCCCATCCCCAGACGGGCTTGAAGCCGACAAGGAAAGTCACTAGGCCTGTACACAGCTTAACCAGATTTCCAAAAAACAAAAAGTGAGATTACCACTTTGCCCTTGGACTCTTCCCATGAGAATTTTCAAGGAGCTTTTCAAATATGAGTTTATGCTTCAGTTGTTCAAAATAACTTCAACTTGCAAACATAATGTTCAATGCAAGCAGGATTATTCTTTCTGAGATAGTTGTCATTCTGTTTCATATGGGATCTGTAATTTTCCTAGCTGGCCAAAGGATTTGCCAAACTAAACTAACAAAAGCAACTTTCCATGGAGAAAGCTGTTGAATTTTAATGCTCCAGAAAAGCCTGAACTTAAAATTTAAATAAAAGGACTTTCTTGAACCACGTTAAGCTGCCGCTGTAGTAGAAGACCACGTGCCCACAAATCTGAAGACCCTGCACGCTTATCTCTTATTCATCACTATCCATGACATTCCAAATCAACGAACTCACGTCATAAAGCTTCCCCAAATACACCCCTAATCATGGCTTATCACACGTTGCCAAATGCATCACTCTAACCAAACCACCAGGTGCTTGAATGAACTGGTAAGGGGGCCGGTTAAAAATTTTGAGATCGAATAGCAACGATTAAATTCTCGATATAAAGTATACCTTTCTAAGAGATATCCATAAGTTGCTAATTAAATTAATTTAGGTCAAAAAAATGAGATACTAAAGCTTACTTAAAAAAAAAAAATGCATTCGGTGCTCAGCCTTTGATATGAGAACTACATAGTATACTTCCTTTGTCTTTTTAGCTATAGGACCCTTTTTTAGTCATTTCAATTCATTCAAGTTTTCTGAGAATTATCAAGCCTTTTCTCTTGCATAATATTTTTCCATTACAACGATAAAAAGTCAAAATGTACCTCAGCCTTTTCCCTCTCAATTTAAATTGGGCTAAAACATAATATCTCATTTTGAATGTGATACAGATAAAATCTTTTTGCAAAGGACAATTCTAGTAGAGCATAGTCAAAGTTCATTAGCGGGTAACTTCATTTTGAAAAGCTCATGCATATGCACATCTCATGTTTTAGGCTAAATTTACACTCTACAAACAAAAACAATGGTAGCCGCATTTCCTTGAGACATGCCCACTTGTACTTGCCTTAGTATTATATTTCAGAGTGAGTCACTTTTTGAGTTGGAAACCAGATGATAAGGAAGCTTGTAGAACTTGTTTATGGAGGGGACCAGATTCAGCCCTTATTATATACTTCATACCCAAGAGATCTAAATCCATAGCCATCATTGCAACCTTGTTGATCTTTTAGTCTCATTGCTTCCCTCTTCTTTTCCAAACTTGAAACTTCAGCCTTTTCAAATCTTCTTGTATATCTCATCTCAGAATATATGCAAATGTCCATTAAAAGTTCTGGATAGATTCGCGGTCCATCCTCCAGTTTAAAGCTAACAGAGAAAGAAGGGTCTAGCTATACATGATGCTGTTTAGAGATTTTCCTTTTTGGGGTAAGTAGAATAAAACGTGCTGTTTAGGGCTTTGTTTGTTCATCAACTCATTGCTCTCTGGATGCTAGCATAGCATAATCATCATTTTCATGGAAGCAGTCCTTTCATATATGTTTTGAGCTTTTACGGTTCTTTTTCCTCATCTCTATCTGATTTACTTCGAGCTTGGATCTATTGCTTGAAGCAATCATGCTCCCCGTGTACAGAATCAGTGACACACACGATCTGTACAGTACTGTCGAACTAGTAGGTAACTTAATCTTTATATTTTAGTGCCTCATAGGCCCAAAGGACCCAAAAAACATTTCACCTCGTATCAGTCAGCCATGGAATCTCAAATCCCAGAGATTTCAAACTCCAAGAG